AGGTGAGCAGGGCCTGGGAGGGGATCCAGAGCAGAGAGAATCAGGACTTTCTGCACTAAGGGAGGCTCTTGCTGTGTGACCTGGGGGGGGGGGCATCCCCTGTCTTCCAGCTGCTGGTGTCTTGTGGGGACATTCTCTAAAAGCAGATGGAACCTGACTTGGGGGCTCCTTTTCAGCACCGGCATTCAGAGCCAATGGCAAAGGCAAGCTGGCTCCTAGGGACCGACCACAGGGACAGGAGAGTATGAAGGTTGCAGGCTAGAGGACAGGACTCTCCTTTAGATATCAGAGGCAGAAAGTCACCCGTGATGGCACCTGGGTTGGGAATCTCCCTCTCTTTGGGGTTCCCAAGTCTATCAGTCACAGAATCAGGGTTGTCAGGCCCTAATCCCTCAGCTTTAGATCTGTGGACATCCAGGTGCTCCTTCTCGTGGCCTTGTGTCCACAGCTATCCTTTGGGTCCCTCTTTCCCTGGCATTGGATGTTTTCATAAAGAAGCCACAAGTGTCTGCCTGGCTCTCCCCCTCTTTCCCCATCTTTCTCCCTCTCTTCCTTTTTCATGGTCTTACAGTCCCCTTTGTACTCTGCTCCTGTCACTCTGTACCACCAAAGAACCCAGGTGTTAGAACCAGAGGTCTCCCGATTCTTGACACTGGATAAAAATGCCCCTTTGCCAGCAACCAGGGCTCTCTGCCAGGTGTGGAGTTCAACGTCCTTCCCACAGAGCCTTGGGCTCTGAGCTTGTCACAGACCACAGGGTCATCACAGAAGACCCCACGAGACTCCTTTCTAAAGGGTGTTTGCCCCCTCAGTGGCCTGCGGAGACCCCCCTGTGGTGGAACATGCCAGGACCTTTGGACAGAAGAAGGACCGATATGAAATCAATTCCCTGGTTCGGTACCAGTGCACTGAGGGCTTTGTCCAGCGCCATGTGCCCACCATCCGGTGCCAACCCAGCGGGCACTGGGAGGAGCCTCGGATCACCTGCACGGACTGTGAGCATCACCCTCCGAGCACTAACAGGGGTTGGGGCTGGATTTGGCCAGCACGGCCTTCTTCCTATCCCTGGGAGGGGACAGCTGGGACTCACTGTCTCCTGGGGATGCTGCACCATCCTTCAGACTAAGCCAGGGTGGCAAAGTCAGTGAACTGTGACTGTGATCTGTGACTTAGGGAAGGCCAGATGCCTGACCCAGGAGAGGGCTCATATTCAGAGAGGGGAGGTAGCAGAAAACTGGTGGCCTGCTTTCCTTTTCAACAACAGCCTGCATGCCCATAGCCCAAAGAGGCTCTGTACAGCTAAAGGCTGGCTTCCTGAGCCTCCGTTTTGCAGTGAGGGGTGCCAGCGGAGAGGGGCAGAGTGGGGAACACCTCAGCTCGGCCTCACTTCTTCCTGGCTCACCGATATTTCCCATCTTCCTTTCACCCCAGCCACCACCTACAAGCGCAGACTACAGAAACGGAGTTCACGGCCCCCAAGGAAGAGCCACCCCAGCACGGCCCACTGAGAAGAGTTTCCAGAACGCACCCAGGATGCTGAGCCCAGGAGCCTGGCAGGCAGACAGTGCATCCCATCCAGTTGGTGTCCTCTTGTCACTTTTTGTCATATAAGGAATCCCATTAAAGGAAAAAAAATGAATCCCACATTGTGTATGCACCCACCCCCACCCCATCCCCAAGTCACCAAAACCTCATCTAATTTGTCCCCCAAATGCCAAAGCAAAGCAAACTTACTGTAACCCATGGACTGAGTTTAGAGACATTTCTTCAATCTCCCGTTGTGCCTTTCCAGGGACCAGAGCAGGGACAGGGGGAGAGGGAAGGGGTTAAGTTAAATAAAGAAGATTATTTTTTGTTTCCTGACTTTATCCAAGAGCAGTAGAGTCGTTGGTTATTTCACCTCCAGGGAGAGCTAGGGAGGAGGGAGGAGGGGTTGGAAAGAGGTGGAAGGGGCAGAGGCCTGAAGGACTCAGACTGGACCGCAGCTGAATGTATTGGACAAAAGGAGCCAGGAGGGCTGCACCATCTGCATGGGGTAGAAGCCTGGGGGTGAGGGTCCAGCTGACCCGGGGTCAGCGGGCAGGAGAGAGCCAGCAGAGGGATCTTCACAGCGTGGGGGTCGCCCTCCAGGGGTCCCTTTCCCAGTGTCCTCTCACCTGGGTCTGCCACCCTAGCAGGTGTCAATCTCTCGGCAGGGCTGGGTGGGGGCACTTCCTTCCAGAGGGAGTGCCACCCACCCCCTCACCCCACCCCACCCCCGGGACCGTGCAGGCACCAGGGTTCCGTGCACCTATTTATATTTTTGAAAACTAAAGATTATGATAATTATAATAATAAAGACATTGGAAGAGATCTCTTTCTTTTCTTTTCCCTTTTTTCAATTTAAGGAGAAGGCAACCGCAATCTAAGGCCTGTTGAAGGCTCTCAGGAATGGTGACAGTGGGGACATGTTTTGATCAAGTGACCCCACATTGTGTGACTCCTGTCTGTTCAGAGTCTGGGACAGTCATGTCTGGTGTGCTTTACTTTTACTAGAGTGAAGCTGTTTTGGATGGATTCTGCACATGTGTGGATAGGAATGTGGAGTGTGTGCCTGGGGGTGCCTGTCACATGCATGATGTGTCAGTAGGTGGCACTGTGGGTGGACGAGCAAGTGGGCACTGTAAAAGAACAAGAGAAACATCTGGTCATCTTGCATAGTTTGGTTCTTTGCCATCACACTGTGTTGGTAAACTAAATCTAAAAACTGGGAAACTCAGGATTTAACAAAAGGGAAGGAAAAAAAAAACAAATGGCAGACAATCTAGGAACAATAAATCTTGCTTATACATTTTTGGGGCAAATGGGTCAGCTGACTGCTAGCAAAAAGATCTGGACATTGTGCATTTAAGTAAGATAACAATGAAACCTCGGGAGTTATGGTGCACACCTGTAATCCCAGCCACACAAGGGACTGAAGCAGGAGGATCACAAGTTCGAGGCCAGCAACTTTGTAAGACTCTGTCTTGAAATACAATTAAAAGGGGCTTGGGATAGAGCTTAATGGTAGAGCACATGCCTAGCATGCATAAGACCCTGGGTTCCATCCCCAGCATCACAAAAAAAAAAAAATCAAATTAAAAGGGCTGGGATATAGCTTGGTGGTAGAGCACCTTTGGGTTCAATTGCCAGAACTGGGTAAAAAAAGACACCAACAAGAGCAATTTTTACTGTTTATTGTACCCCAAGAATTGAGCTGGAATGTGCAGGCCAAACACTGAGTGACTTTCCAGTGCCCCCTCGGGACCTCTCCCTCATCAACATGCCTTCGAGGCTTTGTCTCAAAAGTGTTTGTGTTGGAAGTGAATGCCAGTGTGAGTTTGTGTGCCATATATTTTTCAGGTGTAGGTATGGGCATGGTTGAGCCTTTGCAGGTGATATATACATGTGTCCAGGTTACTTATAGCTCTGGAAAGAATGGGTGAGCAAAGAAGCACACAGACCCTAGTCAAATAGTAGGGACTCAATAATTATGTAACTGATGGATAAATTAACTGACTATGGATGCTTCTTATGAGGTTATATCCCCATAAACCCCATCATAAATTGAAAATATCTGAAATCGAAAATATATTTAGAGTCAGGAGCACACCTGTGATCCCAGTGGCTCGGAGGCTGAGGCAGGAGGATAGCAAGTTCAAAGCCAGCCTCAGCAAAAGCAAGGCACTAAGCAACTCAGTGAGACCCTGTCTCTAAATAAAATACAAAGTAGGGCTAGGGATGTGGCTCAGTGGTTGAGTGCCTCTGAGTTCAATACCTGGTACTAAAAATATAATATATATTTATTTTATATATTTTTATGTTTTATATATATATATATATTATATATATATATATATATATATATATATATATATATAGAGAGAGAGAGAGAGAGAGAGAGAGAGAGAGGCTGGAGGTATAGCTCTTACTTAGCTTGCACGAGGCCCTATGTTTGATCCCTAGCCCAATTTAAAAAAAGATAAATTAAATGCATTTTAATATATATATTCTACCAAACATCAGAGCTTAGCAACATAGTACACAGTAGAGGATCTATTGTGTCTCTTTTTGATTGAGTGACTGGGAGCCCTGCTTGTTGCCACTGTCCAGCATTGTGAGAGAGAATTGCACCACATTTTGCTAGCCCAGGGAAAGATCAAAATTAAAAATTCAAAGTAGCAGCCAGGCACAGTAGTGGACACCTGTAATCCCAGTGACTTGGGAAGCTGAAGCAGGATGATCACAAGTTCAAGGTGTGACTCAGAAACTTTGCAAGACCCTCAGAAATTTTGTGAGACTCTGTCTCAAAATAAAAAAATAAAAAAGGGCTGGGGATGTAGCTCAGTGATAAAGCACCCCTGGGTTCAATTCCCAATACCATACACATACAAAAAAAAAATTCAAAGTAAAGTTTATGCTGAACATTTATTGCTTTCATGCCATCTATTACAGTTTGGATATTGAACATTCTCCAAAGCACCATGTGTTGAGAAATGGGTCCCCAGGATGGTGTTATTGAGAGGTGCTGGTAGACCTTTAGGAGGTGAGCCCTTCTGGGAGGTCCATCAGTCACTGGGAACAGGTCCCTGAATGGGTATTTTGGGACACTACGCTCTTGGTCTTTTATCTTTGCTTCCTTGCTGATAAGGTGAGCCTGTTTCTCTGCCATCCACACCTATCCTGATATACTGCCTTATGCAAAGTCCAGAAGAACAAGAGCCACTCAATCTTGGACTGGAACCTCCAAAACTATGAGCCAAAATAGACCTTTTCACAAGTTACTTATGACTGATATTTTATTATAGGAAAGACATTGACTAATACAACGTTGTAAGGTCAAAAGATCATAAGTCAGCTGGACGCAGTGACACATGCCTAAAATCCCAGCAACTTGGGAGGCTGAGACAGAAGGACAAGTTCAAGACCATCCTGGGCAACTTAGAGAGACCTTGTCTCAAAATAAAAAAATAGAAGGGTTGGGGATGTAGCTCAGATTTAAAGCACCCTTGGGTTCAATGCCAAGTGCAAAAAAAAAAATCGTAAGTCAAATTATCATACATCAGAGACTATCTGTAATTGGTAAAACAACCATCTATGCTAGTGGCTTTCAGAATCCCCTGGAGGATTTGTGATAACAAGGGGCCTAATCTCAACCCCAGAGTTTCTAACTCTGTAGGTAAGGCCCAGGAATTTGCATTTCTAATGCATTCTAAGTGCTGCTGCTGCTGCCGCTGCTACTGGCCAGACTTTGAGTAGCACTGGGCTGGTGAAAAACTGATGGCATTACTGAGAGGTAAGTGGCAGGGCATGCCTGTGAGAAGCAACCAAAGTGCCTTCCTTCAGGGTGAGGCCCAGAGGATCAGGCCCGAGAGCCTGGCTTCTGAGGCCCTCCAGAGGGCACCTTCCTCTCTCTTGCTGGGCCTCACACAGACACACTATCAGGGGCTGGGGGATGCAAGCCAGGGAGCCAGCTGCTGGACCAGTACCAGAGGCAGGGCACGGCCTGGGGCAGCACACGGCCTGGGGCAGCACACGGAGTTCCCTGCCCACCCCAGGTGCGCTGACCCCGCCACCTGTGAAGCATGGCACAAAACTGAACCTACCACATCCACCAGGCTGGGAGCTGAGCCCTGAGACTGGACGAGACAGAGAGACAGGCACAGAAGCAGGTTGGGGACAAAGGAAGGAGTTATAGCACCATTTATCATTCAAAGAAGGTGCACACACCCGAAGGCAGCTCTCCACACAGGGAAAATGAGAAGAAACAGAGTGGAGATGAGAAAGGGAGAAGAGGACTTCTCTCCCTCCCCTCAGATCTCAAGGAGAAGCCTAGGAAGCCACTCCAGAAATAAAAAGGACCCCCCCCACCCCATCACCAACTCCTCTTCCTTCCCAGACCGAGACAGAGGGAGAGCAGCAGCCACCATGCCTTGACCCCTTGTGGCCAGGTCACTGCCCACTCGGGTATCAGCCTCCTCTGAGGAAGGACACAGGCTGGACTCAGAAATAGCAGGGAGCCCTCTAAAAGGCTCACAAACCTCAAATATTTGTGATGGGGAGCGCCTCAGGGTGTCCAGGGAAGCTGGTACTTGGATGCTGCTGGATTTACAAAAAATAATGATACTTTTAAAAAATATTTAAGTTGAGAAGTATAAAAACAATACTAAAATTGCCCCGACCCATTAGGAGAATGGAACCACTCAATAAATACACAGCCCCGGGGGGATGCAAAGCTGGTCGCCCAGATCCTAGCGGGGGCGGTAGCAGTAGACGCCATCCAGGCGGCTCTGAGGGTCTGGGAAGCCGAAACTCCGGACTCCAGGCTCTGGGGGCCCGCAGTTGGGACGGGGATGAGCCACAGGGTAGCGGGCGCTGCCATCTGCCAGCCAGCCGGCATCACAGCGGTCCAGGCCACGGAACTTCCAGGCAGCAAAGAGCTGGCCCACCTTGGCAATCTGGGCACCATCTTCCTGGCAGGCCTCCCGGGCCTCCTTCAGCGTCAGCTTCTCGGGGTGCTCCAGGTAGTACACCCGCCCTGGGGGAAGGTGGGGCATTAGTGCTGGGCAGCTGAGACAGTGACCCCAGCAGAGCCCATCCCAAGAACCTGACAACTGTCCAAGCCCAGGGGACCACGATGCTGTGGACATGTGCGGTGGACATTTTGGGAAGTGTAACTTCCCACACCTTGGCACCTGAGAGTCCCACTCTACTTGCCATAGGGCTGGGTCCCTCTGGTTATGTCTGTACTCCCCTGCCACCCTTCCCTGATTGTACCCCCAAGTGGGCATCCCACCTGGGCTGGACCAGAGTCTCTCACCCAGTCATTTACTGAGTACCTGCTATGTGCAAGACATTTCTCTAAGTGCCTAGGATACAGCACTGAACCAATTCCTGTTTTCACTTATCTTCTGATGAAACAGGCCATTTTACGAGGACAGATGCGTTTCCTTTGTCTATAATGCCCCTGAGCCTCGTCTAGGCCCCAGCACTAGAAAATGCTCGATGAGAATAAACCAATGTTTGCAAGAAGCAAAAGCAGCAAAACACTCAAAATCCCACCAGTATTGCTTCCAGATCTGCTGGGGCTCTAGACCTCTAGGTGGAAGTGTCAGCAGGGTGGGCAGAAGGGTCCAGAAGTTCCCTGCAGGTCCCAGGTGCCCATCAACCCACAGGCCTGTGCTTGGCCACTCCACTCACCCTTGAGGGCAGCAGCAAAGCAGAAAACATCGTAGCGATGCAGGCGGTGGTGGCGTGGGCCATAGCTGCGCACACCAGGCGCCAGGCCCAGGCCACCACAGGGCTCTCGGGGCAGCGTGATGGGGTACTGCACCGTGGCATCCTGCAGCCAGCCTGCGTTGCACCAGTCCAGGCCTTCCTCCCAGGCCCGGAAGAGCTGCTCAAAGGAGGCCACTACTGCATCCTGCTCCTCACAGGCCTGCTGGGCCTCATGGAAGTTGAGCTGGTAGCGCCCCTGAGGGGGCTGGTAGGGAAAGACCACGCCTGGAGAGGGAGGAAAGGAGCTTGGAGGGGTGGGCTGCACAGTCAGCTCTTCCTCCTCCACTGGGACACACGACCCCCGACACACACACACACTCACACGGTCACTCAGGAAGCTCAGCAAACCTCCATCTCCTACCCACTGCCCACATCCAGGCAGAGCCTATGAGCTTTACTTCCTGGAGCTGAGCAGGCAACAGCGGCATTCAGGAAACGTGCCTTGGCTTGTGAAGGTGATTAACCAGCCCAATGTCTCCAAATTTAAAATGGGAATACTGCCTTACTTATGGGGCTATGGAGAGAACCTCAGTGAGGAGATGCTATCATGTACAAGATGGGCACTGGCTTTGGACTCCAGAAGCTGGATTTGGCTCCCAACGTCCCTCCCAATAGCTAAGACCTAATCACACAGGCTTTCCTCAGTGTCCAAAGGGATCCGTTCCAGGGACCCTCCTCAAATACCCAAATCCAAGGATGTTCAAATCCCCTATATAAAATTATATAGTATTGCCAGGCATGGTGGTGCATGCCAATAATCCAGATACTCCAGAGGCCGAGGCAGGAGGATCACAAGTTCAAGGCCAGGCTGGGCAATTTAGCAAGACCCTGGCTCAAAAATAAAAATAATTAAAAGGGCAGGGGCTGAGACTCAGTAGTAGATGCCCCTGGGTTCAATCCCCAGCACTGAAAAAGGAGAAAAAAAAAAAAGCATAGTATTTGCATAGAACCTACATATATCTTCCTGTATACTTTAAATCATCTCTAGATTATTTATGATGCCTTAATACAAAGCCTACACAGCACTTCATTCTTATGGATTTAGCATAGTACTTGGCATGCAGCAAACTTTAGTTTTGCTTTTTTTGGAACTTCTTGGAATTCTTTTTTCCAAATAATTTTTGAGCTGTGAGTTGGTTGAATTTGCAGATGAAGGGTCCACAGTTACAGAGGACTGACTGTATATGTCATTATGAATATGGAAGTTTCTTAGGAAAATATAAGACATTTTCCACATATGACAGATGTTTTTTAGGGGAAGGAGAGGCCCTAGAAGCTATGGGAAGAGGGTAGTGAAGGGCCCTTAAATAAAGGAGGCTTGAAGTCAGGAAAGGCTTGGGGCCCTCTCTTAGTAGTCAGGATACAATGGGGGCCACAAAGTCCCCTCAAAATTTGTCATGCATGTTTGAAATTTTACTATAATAAGTTTTTTAAGCATTGGAAATTCAGTTCCTAGCAAGTTGGATGAAATCTTAAAAAGTAGGCGTGACTCTAAGGGTTCAGAAGGGGACCCTGCTGGGCTTCCATTGTTTATGAGCAAGGCCCTGAGTAGGAACTCCTCCCTGTAGCCAAGGACATGGAATATGTCAAGCACCAAACCCAGTCTTGCTGGGGTACCGGTACCTGGGCAAAGCCAGTCTAAGAGGGCACAGAAGCCCAAGGGAGCTGGTCGTGGTGGTACACACCTGTAATTCCAGCAAATCGGGAGGCTGAAGCAGGAGGATGGAAAGTTTGAGGCCAGTCTTGACAATTTAGTAAAACCCTGTCTTGATAAAATTTTTAAAAAGGGAAGTTGAGGGAAGAAATTGGGGGTGGGTTGTAGCTCAGTGACAGAGTACTGGTGGATACAATTCCTAGTACCCTCCCCCCCAAAAAGAGAGAGAGAGAGAGAGAGAGAGACAGAAGACCATGGGCCTGACAATCACATCTTAACCTTCCTGTATGCTCACAGGGGGATTATTGTGCGCCTGGTATCATCTCAAATTCCTAGCCCTGGGTGAGGATTCCCTGCCTCTGTAGGCTGCTTCTGCCAATCCAGACAAATGAATCCTGCAGGCTCTCTCCCTTCCCTCCACCATATCCAAATCCAAAATGAGCAATGTGGCCTCTCTCAGGCACCATCTAAGCCACAGGGACTTCAAAGTTGGAGTGCTGCAAAGATGAAGCCAAGTTTCCAGGATGTGCATTTATTCTCCTGGCCTCTGAGGCAGGTAATGGAGGAACTACTCTTGTCCCCATTCACACCTCTCAGAACAGCCCAGAGCTCTGAGAGGCTGAGGCATTCATTCCCAGGGGTCACAGCAGAGATGGGCCAGATGGAGTCCAAGAATCTTCCTCCCTCCCAGCTGCCTTCCTAACAGGGCAGACTGACATCAGGACTCCCAGCCTTATCCCAGAGACAGAGGAGGTGAAAGGAACTTAGATCTTAAACTGGGGCCCACAAACAAAATCTGGCTTGCGGGGTCTTGACTAGTTTTGACAGTCCTGGGTCTTTTCCAGAAAAGAAGACTTTTGTGGGGCACGGTGGCACACACCTATGATCCCGGTGACTTGGGAGCCTAAGACAGGAGGATCACAAGTTCAAGGACAACCTGGGCAATTTAGCAAGAATCTGTCTCAAAATAAAAAACAAAAAGGGCTGGGAATGTGGTTCAGTGGTCGAGCAACCTTGGGTTCAATCTGTAGTTCTACAAAAAAATTTAAAAGTTTAATTAATTAAAATTAAAATAGGAGCCGAGTGCAATGGCATACACCTGTAATCCCAGCTGCTCAGGAGAGGCTTGAAAGTTCAAAGGCAGCCTCAGCCATTTAGTGAGGCCATAAGCAACATAAGAATAAAAAATATAAAAAGGGTTGGAAATGTGGCTCAGTGTTTAAGTGTCCCTAGGTTCAAACCCCATATATATTTTTTAATATTCGTATTTAAAAAGGAGATTGTTACAAAAAAAGACAGTCATTTCACATAAAAAGATAAGCTCTCATCAAATTAGGAAATCTGATTGCACCGGGCCTGCATTCTGCCATGGCATCATCGGCTGGGCCTGAGTAGAGTGGCCCCTCTGGATGGGACAGGGCTCACCCCTGCCACTCCCTCTCATTGCATGCTGGGCCTGCCACATTCTTTTATTGCCTGCTAACCCTGCTCAAATCTCAGCCCTGGCTCTAATGAGCTATAATACTGGCTCCCACTGTCCTCTCTCTGAACGGGACATGAGTGAAAGAGAACAGAAGGCAGTAGATGCTGGAGGCTGCTGCCGGGGTCCAAATGCCAGCTTTGCCATTTATGAGCTGGGTAACCTCAGAGAAGTTACTTGGCCTCTTTGGGTTTCCTCATCTGTAAAATCAGGGTGGTAATAATAGTAGCTTCCTTATGAGGACATAATTTTCTACATAAAGCACAAACATCCGGATGCTCTCTCAGGGGCCTCTCCCCTCCCTTAGGTCCCAGCATCACCCAGTCCCGGTCAGGGCCTCACCCCGCAGCTCCAGCTCCACCAGGCCGCTCTCATCCTCTAGCCCATCAATGACCTCACAGCGGTAGCGCCCATAGTCTTCCAGCCGCAGGTCCCAGAGCTCCAGTGAGACTTCACGTTCCTTGTCCTGCCGCAGGTGCACGCGGCCTTGGTAGTCCCCAAAGGAGCGGTGCCTCTTCCCTATGGCCACCAGCACATCCTGCTCTGGGGCCCCGTTCTCTGACAGCTTCCACCACTTGATGCGCACGGGCCTTGGGGAGGCCAGCGCTGGCTCATAGTGGTAGTGGCAGGGCAGGGTCACAGTAGCCCCCCGGTGGGTGAACAGCGTCTCCTCGGGCGTCTCTACAACCAACTTCACCCCATTGAAAAGGCCTATGGGGAGAGGTAGGGGACAGGGAGGGACAGCTGCAGCACATCTCTACCTCCCTTCAGGGTCAATTGTTATGAGTGAAAAAATGGCCTCCCTGCTCAACCCATCCACCCCCCCTTGCAGTGTGCCTGTGTATCTCCTGCCATCAAGAGGTAATATCTATTCCCCTGTCCCTGGAATGTGTACTGGCCTTGCCACTGGATTTAACCAAATGGACATGGCTGGTATGACCGTCCCATAGTGCCTGCTCTGAGCCTCAGTTCCAGGAGATCTGGCTTCTTCCGGTTTCTCATGGGTCCTCACCAGCCCCCCATGAGCATCAAGCCAAGGCTTGCCTACTGAGCATGAAAGACCACCTGGAGCAGAAGCAAGCCTCCCCAGCTGGGGCCACCCTAAATCAACCAGCCCCCAGCCTGTCAGCACCCTGTGGGTGCATCTGCAAGTCTCAAGTGCAAGGCCAGAAGAAAGGGAGCCCCCTGTCAAATGCTGACCCACAGGCAGCTGAATAAATGGCTCTTGTCTTAAGCCACTGAGTTTTGGGGTGGTTTGTTACACATCAAAAGTTAACTGATGAGCCAGATGCACACCTGGAATCCCAGTTATTTGGGAGGCTAAGACAGGAAGATCACAAGTTTAAGACCAGCCTGAGCAACTTAGTGACACCCTGTCTCAAAATAAAATAAAAAGGGCTGGGGGCTGGGGATGTAGCTCAGTGGTTAAGCACCCCCAGATTCAATACTCAGTATCAAAAGAAAAAAAAAAGAGAGAGAAGAAGTCTTCTGCCCAAGGCCAGCCAGTAAGAAGCAGAATTAAGATTCAAACTCACATCTATATGACCCCAAGCCCTCTTTTTACTGGGGAGCCCAGGAGAGATCTCATTTCAGCCAGATCTTGAAGAACTGGCAGGACTTTGGGGAAAGTGTAAAATAAGCAAAGTGATCATCCCTAAGTGAATATGGCCTCATGTCCAAGGAGACAGCAAACAGTAACTAAACCATCTCTTCCTCTTGTCTAAGAAGCAAGGCTGATCCACCCCAAAAGCCAAGATGGGGAAGAAACTACTGTGTCATACCCTGTCCCCCATCCCAGCCTGGAACCTGCATAGCACAGCAGGAACCAGGATCCGGCCCAGGAGGCCACCCACCTTCGCCATAGCCATTGCCTGGATTCCTGCCATTGGGGCTGTTGGAATAGTAGAAGCCGTTATAGAAGGGCAGTCCAGAAACGCAGGGCAGCAGGAACAGCAAGACCAGGACCCATGGTGCTGCAGCGCAGCACCCACAGCAGCAGCTCCGGTGCATCCTGGGCCAGGCTGGGGCCCTGGGGCAAACTGGGAGGAGGAGGGGGGAAAAGCCAATTAGAGACCCCCACTGCAGTGCCCTGGGATCCCTCTGTTCGACCTGCACTCAATCACCTCTCTATAGTTCATTATGAAGCATCTTCCAGCACCAGGCTCGGTGCTGGAAAAGCTAGAGGAATCTCTGCTCTCTGCAGGCAGGAGGGGCAATAGCAAACAAATAAACCCTCAGAGGAATTAGTAGGCAACAAAAAGAGCATGGAAAAAATTAAGCCAGATGATGTGACACTATCAATATTTCTCAAATCACGGGTTTGAATTTGAGAGGTCATGAGCAATTATTTTATTTTGCTTTATTTATTTATTTTATATTTTATTTTATTTGACATTGGGAATTGAACCCAGGGGCACTTTACCACTGAGCTACATTCTCAGTCTTTTTTACATTTTAGTTTGAGATGGGGTCTTACTAAATTGCCAAGGCTGGCCTTGAACTTGTGATCCTCCTGTCTCAGCCTCCTGAGCAGCATATTTTAATGAAACCAAACTGACTAGACTAGAATAAAAAATAGCAAAGTGCATTTCATGCTTAGTGAAAATAAATCCTGCAACAAGAAACTTTTGTTTCAGTCCAATGTCTGGGGGTCTGGAGTTGTAGGGGTCACAATGTGAAATTTATTTCTTACCCTAAGTCAAGGTTAAAAAGAAGTTTTTTAAACATCACACTAGAGCATTATTCCTGTTTAGGTGGATATTCAAATAAAATAGGCAGCTGGCCCATGAGTTGTAGTTTGTTGATTTGATTTTTTTTAAATATCCCATTAAGCTGGGCTCAGTGACACATGCCTATAATCCCAGCAGCTTGGGAGGCTAAGGCAGGAGGATCAAAAGTTCAAAGCCAACCTCAACAAAAGCAAGGCAATAAGCAACTCAGTGAGACCCTGTCTCTACATAAGAATACATAATAGGGCTGGGGATACAGCTCAGGGGTTGAGTGCCTCTGAGTTCAATCCCAGGTACCCCCCCAAAAAAATTGCTCTAAAATATCCTGCCTTGATTGCAAAATTTTTGGCAAACACACACACTTCCCTACTTCAAGTTTGCACCCAAGACTAGTGCTTCCTCAGCTCACCCTTGCTTTTAATGAGCGTTCTCAACAATTAAAAGACTGAAGGAGCTCAATGCTCCAGGGAGCATTGAAACAAGATTAAAGACAGGAATTTTCAAGGTGGAAAAAGACAGACTGATTTTTCTTGCAGAGACACAGTCACTGCAAAGGTGCAGAGGCTAGGGACAACACCTGGGGAATAGGGGTGTGCTGGGGGATCTCCATTTGTGTCCTCCCCCTACGCACTCCCAGGTCCACTCTCTGCCCTTCTGTGCCATGCATTGATCCCTGTGGGTCATTCCACCAGGGCCCACTGGCCTCTGGCCTCCAGATGGATTCAGTCAATGGGAAACACAGGAGATGGGTAGGAGGGAAGAGAGAGAAGCAGCATTTCTTCCCTGCTCCCTCCCCGCTCCAGTGGCTCCGCCATAGTGTCTACTGCTGCTTGTCCTCATTTGATCCCTACCTTCATTAAAGTCTCTTTGTCAGAACCATCTGGAACAAATTCCATTTTCTGCCAAGACTCTAACTGGTATAGAGGTTAAGATGCAAGAAGGTCAACAGGGTCTGTGCCTAGGTGCCCTAATGTCCTGGGGTGCCAAGATGGCTTTAAGCAGAGGAGCAAAAGGATCAGACTTACATTGTAGAAACATCCCCTGGAGGCAAGTCGAAGGTGGACTGTGGGACAGCAAGACCAGAGTGACAGCAGGCATTTGTAAATATAACTATGATTATCCTGTAGCAACACAGAAGAATGCTGAGGGTGTCATTTAAAACAGAAAAAGCAGAACATACAATTGCCATCTGGCTATGATTGCAAGTGTGTGGTCTTATGAATGCCTGTGCACAGGAACCAGAAGGGGAAGAAACCCTAAAAAGAAAATGAGAGAGAAGGGAGGGAAGGAGGGAGGAAGGGGAGAAGAAAGGAAAGGAAAAACAAAGCAAAGCATTGGTCTATGAAGTTGACCAGACTTGGAGGAAACACTCTTGTTTTCAGAAGAGTCAGGAGCAGTTGCTGAAGAGGCTTGGACGTGGAAGAAGATGAGCGATATATCATGCCATTCTCTTAGACAGCTTGGCAGAAATGAGGCCCAGATTTGCCATCTGTGCTGTGCCCTGTAGCAGGAACACTGTCCCCTCTGAGGATTCAACTCTTGTTCAAGAGGAATTGCCCTAGCCAGGTGCAGTGGTGCACGCCTGTGATCCCAGCAGCTCGGGAGGCTGAGGCAGGAGAGTCATGAGCTCAAAGTCAGCCTCAGCAACTTAGCAAAGCCCCAAGTAACTCAGGGAGACCCTGTCTCTATATAAAATATTTAAAAGGAGTGGGGATGTGGCTCAGTGGTTAAGCGCCTCTGTATTCAATTCCAAGAGAGAGAGAGAGAGAGAGAGAGAGAGAGAGAGAGAGAGAGAGAGAGAAACTGCCCTGCTGAATTCCAGTAAGTCCCTGCACAGCATAACCAAAATCAGGCAACCTGGGATGGAGTTTGTGAACTAGAAGATTGAGGGTCAAAACCCACCTCCACTTCAGTAGTCCCTCAGTAATGGTGGGGGATTGTTGTTGGACCCCTGAAGATACCAAAAACCACAGATACTGAAGTCCTTTACTTAATCTGCCACAGTATTTGCATAGAACCTACACACATCCCTGTACTTCAAATTATCTCTAGATAATTTATAATACCTACTACAATGTAAATGCTATGGAAATAGTTGTTTCCTGAATAGCAACAAAAAAGTTTGTATATATTCAATGCAGATAAAAAATTTCCTAATAATTTCCATTAGTCATTGGTTGAATGTGTACAGAGTTGACTGTACTTAGTATTAGCTATGTGGTTCTAAACAGGTTTCCCCAGTTGTGACATGGAGGTCATAAACCTGCCCCCTGGCGCATTTCTCATTAGTATGTTCTGGTTTTCTGTTATGGTAATGGAATTCTAGAGAGATGCATGACCACTCAGCAAAAGGCTGTATTTCTGGTCTTCCTTGAAGCTAAGAGGGCTGGGTTAATTAGTTTTGCATCACTATGACCAAAATGCCTGACAAGAACAACTTAGAAAAGGGAAAGTTTATTTGGGCTAATCGTTTCAGAGGTTTCATTCATGGTCCGCTGAGTACGTTGCACCAGCAGCACGCTGAGGCAGAATGTTGTGCAGAAGAGCAAAGGAACATTCCAGGTGGCTAGGAAGCAGAGATAGAGGGAGAGGCAAAGAGGCTGCAGCAAGATGCACTCTCCCAGGGCAGCCCCCAGGAACCCAGCTCCTCCAGCCACACCCCACCTGCCCACAGTTACCACCCAGTCAGTGCATGCAAAGTATGGTAGACCAATTAGGTTACATCTCTCGCCATCTAATCATTTCACCTCTGAATATTCCTGCACTCACACAGGAGCTTTGGGGGAGACACCTCATATCCAAATCATACCAAAAGCCAGGTAACTCATTTCTGGCCAATGGCAGCCAGCAGAAATAACATGCTCCAGGTCCAGGTCACACAGTTAAGCCTACTGAGGACACCTTTTGCAGGTATTCTTTCCCCTAATCTGCTGGCCACCACAGTAGAAAAGTTTAGACTCAGAGATAGGAACCACAGATTGACTGGCAGGGCTGTCATCAGCCTAGACCACATCCACCTCATTGTCCCCTGAGCAAATCCTGTTGTATTAAACCAACACATTTTGCGGCTACTGGGGAACACAGTTTAGCCTCTCTTGGCCAAACAAATCCACTTCACAGCATTCTTAGCATCAGCATTAAGCATGAATAGCCAGGCTAGGAATGTAGCTCTTGCCTAGCATTAGTGAGGCCCTGAGTTTGATCCCCAATACTGCAAAAAAGAAAAAAAAAAAGTAAAAACAGCCAACTTTAATGAGCATTTAGTATATCACTGGATCCCCATCCCAACCCCTAGAGCTGGGGCCTATTTGTATCCCCACATTGCAGATGGGAAAACCAAGATGTAGAGAAATTAAGTCTGGTGAGTGAGATTAAGCCAAAGGTCAACCATCTAGAAAATGGTAGAGCTAGAATTTTAATCTATACAGGCTCCAAAGTCTACAACCATCAGGCCAAATTCAGGGAGGTAATTGTGTGGAGTACACAGCCCAGAGTAGAGCGCAGAGTAGACCCTCCTTAAAGTCAATTTCCTTTCCCTCCTTGAGCCTTCACTTGGGGAACTGAGAGGGAAGCAGAGCAATGACTGAGAGGATTGTGGGTGTTGAGCTGGACGTCCCAGGGTCCACCCAGTCCCTGGGCACCTAGAGCCTTCCAAACAGAAGGGCTCCCTGCTTCTGCCTGCAACACTTCCAGCCTGTTAGAACAGCTCAGCCAGCACCAATGCTGCCCAGCAAGAAGGGCCTTCCTGAGCATGAACAAGTGAGGTGTTTCTGCCACAGAGTGACATTTGTATACCTGAAAAAAAATGCATTTTTGCAAAATCATGCCTCAAAAAATGTTAGACAAAAAAACAAAGTCAGACTACTCAGAACTCTGTCATCAGAGTATCAGAGTGCTAACCAAGACAAGAGCAACCCAGAAAAAAAAAAAAAAACATCACCTTCAATTCTCTACTGATATATGCCCACAGGTGTTGCTCTGCCACCCTTAGCAGCCTTCGCCCCTGAAGTGAGTGCTGCCTTCTTCAAGATGTAGATCCTGGAGGCATTTGATTCCAGTGGGAACCAGATTTGCCAGTATTAAAAGTCGGACCCAGGGCTGGAGGCATAGCCCAGTGACAGAGTACTTGCCCAGCATGTGCCAGTAGCTGAGCTCCCCTGCTAGACCCCCAGCACTGCAAAAATATTAAGACAAAGTGTGACCCAGAATGAAATTATCTTCAATCTGTTTTGTCTTTTAACTTAGGGATCCATTTAGGCAATTTCTTCATTGGATTTTAATTTTATTTAAAAAAGAAGAAATATGGTGTTAAGTTCTGTTAAGCAGCTAAACCACAGGTATTCCTTCCTCACCAAATTTATGTCCCCCCACCTCTAATTTTCTGCAGTACTGGAGATCAAACCCAGGACCTCACTCAACTAGATAAGTGCTCTACCGTTGAGTCACACCCCCAGCCCTTATTGCATCCTTGAGTTGGGATGGCAACAGTTTGGGATATTGAGATTTTTGAGAATTCATGTTGGAAGAGATGCCACATCATCCAGATCTATTTGGTTCCTGAATCTTGGAGAGTGATTAGCAAATTTGGATGGCAAGGGAAATCTGTATGTATACTAAAGAAAGGCACTTTCTGGATGGAAGGCAATGTGGCTGCTACATCTGTCACCCCAGTGATCACCAGGGTTGATTCAACTGATCTGGCTGGCTAGGTGGATGTTCCCTTCCTCCCTCACTACTCCATGTGTGTTCCTCCTGAAGCTTCCAGTTTAGTCAAAGGACAACCTTCCCTGATAAAGAAGAATCATTCTTCAAGTGTACATAAGTAGCTGAGCTCCCCTGCTAGAACCTCCAAACAAAGGCACTTCCTAGCTGGGGGCAATGGTGCACACCTGTAATCCCAGCAACTCAGGAGGTTGAGGCAGGAGGATCACAAGTTCAGTGCCAGCCTCAGCTACTTAGGGAGACCCTAAGCAACTCAGAGAGACGCTGTCTCAAAATAAAAAGGGATGAGGATGTGGCTCAGTGGTTAAGCACCCCTGGATTCAATCCCTGGTGGGTACAAATAAAGAAAGAAAGAAAGGTAGGCACTTTCTGCAGAACTGTGAGCCTTTATTATAAGGAATCCATACATTGAATTGCTCTTTAAAGGTCAGAAATCTCCAAACATTCATGTGTTGGTAAAAGTCTCTCCTGAACCAATGCAATTCTACGTTATATGCATATTGTTCCCTCATCATTCTTACAATCAAGGAGGAGGTAAACCACAGTTCAGAAACATGCACTAAAGCAGAACAGACAGAACCCCTGGGTTCTCTGCAAGATCTGCCCTCTGGAGCTGCAAAGTGTGAGTCCCCAAGGCACTCTTCCCATCCCCAGAGACCCAAGTACCTGGGATTAGAGGCACACACAGCAATGCCCAATACACACACACACACACACACAAAAAAAATATTTTCTGGTTGGTATTGTCATGACCCCTATTATGCCAATGAAGAAGAGGTACTCTGGAGGCTGAGGCAGAAAGATCTCAAGTTTGAGGCCAACCTCAGCAACTAACAGAGATCTTGTCTCAAATTTTTAAAAAGGGGAAGTGGAATACTGGGGATTTAGTTCAGTAGTGGAGCACTTGCCTAGCTAGCATGCGTGAAGTCCTGGGTTCAATCCCCAGTACTGCAAAATAATAATAAAGTTGAAGGAAGACAGTGTCTACAGAGCATAGAATACTACCGGTTTGGGGCAAGCACTCAACAATATTAGCTAGTATTACTGTTGTTATCATAAGTGTACAAAATCAAAACTCACATTATCTCAGTGAGCTAAAAGAAAAGCCATCACCATTGCCTTCTCTTTTCATCTGGGGAAACTGAGGCCAAGTCCAAGCTTTATTTTTGGCAAATATCTTGGACTGGCTTTTCCCAGGCTCCACTTGCCTAAAGCCCCCACACGTTAAAGCAATAAACTGAGCGCTGTTGGGGGTAGGGGGTTCACCTCCCCCACCAGATTCACACCCTCAGTGGGCCACCCATGAATACAAGTCCCCCAGATACCAGCAGAGGGCAGCATTGCCCCCAGTTCTCCACCGGCCCCACTGCCCGTGAGGAATTTGACTTCGAGGGTCGGGGAAGACAAGGCTTTACAAGAGCCTTTGAACCCGCAGCCCAGAAAGTGCAAGCCCTGGGTATTTGTACCAGCATTCCTGGCCCTCTCACCAGTTCAGGGATGTGGGAGGAGCTGGGGAGCCTGATGCAGAAAGCAGAGGCACTCCCGAGAGTCGAGGGTCGGCGGGGTCACAGGCTGCCCACGACCACCCAGTGAGCTGGTGGCAGGCAAGGGTCAAAATGTCCCGCACTCCTTCCTTCCCAGTCTAAATTCCTCCCTGAGCGAAGCCATCTCCCACCTAGGGCTCTGCCTCCCACCCTCCCTGCCTCTTCGGGTGCTGCTATCCAGGAACCCACGGATATCCATACACCCTTCCCCGAGGTGGCCAGAACGGGCGGCCGAGAGGGAGCGGCTCAAGTCCGCCCGTCCACCTCAAAGGTTATCCCCAGCCCCTTCCAAGTTCCCGTGGCCCCGCAGCATCCAGCGGATGCCCAAAGCAGAGCCTGGCGCGGTGCCCTGTGCTGGACGCAGCAGGACCTGGACAGCACAAGACCGGAAGGGACCGGCACCGGGCTGGGGTCTCAGAGGCCACCCAGTTGGCTCCCGCTTTCCCCCTCCTGGTGCGCTCTCGCTGTCCGCACCCCACTTGCGCCCACGGCGGCTCAAGGGGGGCGACCGCAATCCAGTTCAGCCTGGGCCCCGAAGTACCCAGCCTCCTTTCCCTGAGCCTGCCTGAGAAGCCTGGGGGTCCGCAGGAGAGCCAAAGCGCGAGGAGTGGAACCTGCCCGCACTGGACCCCTAGGGACCTAGCAATCTCTGAGCCACGTACCGTCCCCAGCACGCTCTTCCAAGACCCAAGCGCTTGGGCCGCTGGCTGTGTGGGTCGCAAGCAACAGACGGATTTAGGGACCTTCAATGGCCCGAAAGGAAGCGGCAGCCGACAAACCTCCGCGCTCCTGCCGGGCCAGCCCCTTAAAGGAACACACCCTCCTTTCCCTCTAAGGCTGGGCCCCAAGGGAGGAGTTGTTGCAGATGCGGGCAGCCTCCAGACGTGCTGGGGACCACCCCCAAACAGGAGCTGTTGGCTGTGCTGTGGAGTGCAGGCTGTCTCATCTCGGGGAAGGAGATGAGAGGGAGATGGAAGAGGAGCTGCGGGAGGCGCAGATCCCATTAGAACACCCTAGTTTACCCCAAAACAGTAGGACTAAGCAGGGAAAGCCCCTCTCTAGCACTCTGCGGGTGGGCTATGGCTTCCTCCCAGAGGGAAGAAAGAGGGAGGAATTACAGTTCTCTATGCCTACTCCCCATAGAAAGCAAGGGATGCTGACATCCTCCTGCCCCTGAGTTTGACCATGGAGGCCAGCCAGGATGTCAAAGTCAGCACAAGGTAGTTGCTGCCCCTAGTAGGTGGGGCTTGAATAAGTGGCCCAGGGGAGTGGGGCTGGAGAGACAGGCTGGGGTGCCAGTAACATGAGCCACCAGGCTTCTGACTGGTCCTTAACAGAGGATTCTGGCATCTGTCTGCACAGCTATCAGGCAGCCCCTCTCAGGATGCCTCTGTTTGGACAGGTTGTTTTCTTTCCTGTCCTGTCTAATGGGGGCCCTGGCCTGGCAGGCCTCATTTCCTCAGCACAGAAACCCAAGGAGGTCCTTCAGCTTCAGCTGGGAGTATCACAGAGCCCGGACACTCTTCCTAAACACACCTCCAGACAGCCCACACCTTTGCCACACACAGTCAGGAGCAAATCAGAGCATGAAGAACTGCAGTGGGCTAGAGGGAAAACAGCACTGCAAGGGACACCAGGTTTATCGAAGGAGCCCATGAAGAATCGTCTGCAGGGAAGAGTGACGGGTCTGATCACTGTGCAGGATGGATCAGAGGGAATATAAACAGGACCCAAGTATGAACTAGGAAACTCCCAAAAGCCTCTCTGATAATGGTGGCCAACATTTTCAGTCCTCTGATGGGCCAGACTTGGCACTGGTGCTTCTGAGCATTTGGTCTTTTAGTCCCCACAGGCCATGGAGCTGGTCTTAGTATTTCCATTTTACAGATGAACTGAGATCCAGAGAGGTTGAGCACATGACCCAAGGTGACCCAGAGCCAGGGTTTGAGCCCAGGTTGTCTGACTTAAGACTTTTATCTAAGTTCCACCACCACCACATTTAAACCAGGAACCCTAGACCCTTGGAAGAAACAGGGCAAACAGATCCCAGAACCAACAGCCACAGGTGTAGGGAGAGGTGTGGACAGCAAAATGGTCAGTTTTGTTACAGGAAGGTGAGTTTAACATGCCAGCTAGGGGTGGGTGGCCAGCAGGTGAAATGCAGCACTACAGTCAGGAAGAAAACAGTGGGTTCCCTCTCCCCCAGCCAGGGTCTCATGCACACTAGGCAAGTGCTCTACCACTGAGCTGAAAAAGAAAATTTGTGGAGGTCATGGTAAAAGCCCTAAAAGTGGAGGAAACTGCTCAGAGAAAGGACCCCAAGTGATGAGACTTCAGTCTAGGGACTTTCAGAAAGCTGCAGCCACACATCCAAGGCTACAAAGATGAGAAGAAGGAGCTAAGAAGTGGCTTAGGCAATTCCAGCCAGAGTCAGGTGGGCACCTGTGACCACTGTCCACCAACCACCCATGGAGAATGACCCTCAGAAAATCCTCAATCTGGCTACTGTGGGCCACTTGACAGATGGAAGTGAAGCTCAGTGTCCCCACTGTGAAGACTCTGGATCTGGCAGGGTTCAAGCTACATTAGTTACTAGCAGGCAGAACCATCCCCAGCAGATGTTATTGGGAAAATGTTTCTCCTACCGTAGGTGGTCCTCAGAGGAGGCCAGAACGGGGGATGGGGGCAGGAAATGCTCCCAGGAGCACTTCCAGAGGCCAGCGAACCCCAGAAAGACTTGACCCCAAGCCTAATCCACACAGGTCCACAGAAAACTGGAAACAGGAGGGAACCAGATACATCTGGGGTGAGCATCCTGCATCCCCAGCTCCAGGGAGACTGCCCCCAGACCCTTTTACTTAGCTCTCAGAAAGGAGCCACTTCCAGTCCAGTGTCCCTGATGTGGCTCCAGCCAGACCCTTTCTTTGGCAGCCACGTGGCCAGCCTGCTGCCAAAGAGGCCCAAAGTTTGGTCAGGACAACTCACCTTGGAAACGAGGGTGAGCCGGGTGGGGATGTAGCTCTGACAGAGCTCTTGCCCAGCATGTATAAGACAGATTCGATCCCCAGCACCACCACCCCCCCCAAAAAAGTAGGGGGCTTCACTGACCCCTTCCCCAGCTGCTCAGCCCCACCTCTAGCTGCCATCCCCTTCCCAGATCACCAGGGCTCTGGCCTGAACTGCTCCCCCTAGCCACTTTTTAATGGTCCCTGCATGGAAGGGGGCAGAGAGAGGACCCCTTTCTTCCCAGCCCTAGTGTGCACTTGCCAGTGGCCTCCCAGGAACCAGTGTGCTCTGCCGGGAGGCCCCGAGCCCAGTTGACAGAGCCCAGCCCTCTCCTCCCATTCCACACTGCCCGCACCAGAGGCTCCCTACAGCCCGAGAGCGGCCCAGGTTCATGGGTTTCTACAAGTTTCCCCAGCCCAGGGCTCTAATTACAGAAAAGATGAAACTCGGCAAAGGGGGAAATCAGCAGCCAGACCTGGCACATCTTCCTGGGGCGGGAAGGGAGCAGAGCGGTTCGTGGAGATGCCTCTGGGCCAGGACTGCAGGCCCCTCACCAGGCAGTAGCTGTGGGCCCCATCCTGGGGTGGGGGGTGGGCAGTTGGGTGTAGAGGTGGGGAACAGGGAAGAGGCGAGTCAGGCTTCAAGGACTAGAAGCCTGACCTTCCCCCAGAAGCCCTGAGCAGTCTCTCTCCTCCTGCTGTTAAGCTATTTGTAGTCAGACAGGTGACGAAAGAATGCTGGGCAGTGGTGGGAGCCAAGGCCAGTCAAGTTCCATTTCGACAGGACAATGATGAAGCATGGCAAGAATTCCAGTGGAGAATACAAATATATTTTGGAAGCTGCCTGTGTGCTCGCGGGTGAAGAGCCAGCACAGAGGCCCCCACGCCCACCCAGACTGACTACCTCCCTGCCCAGCTGGCTCCCCCATCTGTCCACAGAACCCCCCCCCCACAACTTCTGTCTTCCTAGGGCTTCGGGACAAAGGTCCAGAGGGGTCTCCAGGGGGATAAAGGGGAAGTACTGTCGGATGGGTGCAGCGGCAGGCCTGAGGCAGCAGACTGTTACTTCCAAGCTGTGCCTCACGGCTTCCTCTGGGGACATGGGAGTGTGGTATGCAGAAAGGTGTTCAAGGTGACCCTGGCAGAGTGGACCCAGAGCCTGGAGTGGGGGACTCTGGAGAGGTGTAGGGAACCCACAGTCCTGAGCCCGCCCCTCCCTGTCCATCCCAGACCTACTCAACTCCACAGTGCCTGAGAAAACGAGATGGCAGGAGGGCTGGGCGCCAGGGACAGTGGAAGATGGAGGGTGGCGGTGAGGACAGGGAGGGAGGGAGGGGACTGCCTGTTGGCATCTCCTGTGAAGCCCCACTGCCCTCCCTACCCCCAGCCCCTACTACAATCAGAAAGGAGGTCCAAAGAGGCATGGCCCACAGGAGGCAGGAGGTTCTGGGAGGGGCAGGTGGCCCAGCAGCCTCAACGGCCCTCACTACTTCGGCTGGGCCTATCGCCACAGCCCAGCAGCTCCAGGCGCAGCGTGATGCGGTTGTGCCAGGCCACAGGCAGGATGCGCACATAGCGGGCAAAGATAGGTGTCTCAAACATATTCTTCTTATGAGAGTTGTTATCCAAGTTTCCAGGGAAGACCTGGAGGCAGAGGGGGTGTCAGGAGTACCCCAGAGTCAGCCTCCCTCCCACGGTGCCCTGGGAATAGTGAGGGGAAGGCCCTGGACAGACACCCACCTTGCTGTCCGCGGCCCCTTGTTCCTTGTACTCAGTCCAGTTCACACCATCGTTACTGTAGGCCACCTTGTAAGCTGCCACGTACTGGATGTGGCCAAAGTCACGGGCCCCCTGGGTGATGATGCCTGTCACCTCTTTCTGGGAACCTAGGTCAACCTACAGGGAAAACCACGCACATTTTCTTGGCTTGCACCATCTCCAGGAAGGTGGAAAGAGGCAGGTGCACTGGGGCTTGATTTGTTTGGGGAAAGCTACTTTCGTTGGCCAAGCTTCAGCTTCCTCATCTATAAAATGGGCACACATAATACCACCCATAGTGCTGGGCACTGCACTTCAATAAAGCTAGGGCTTGGCTGACAATACAGCAATCCCTGCCAAGGCTGGCAGCCCCTCCTGGAACCCAACTCCTGGCCAGCTCCTTGGATCCAGAGACAGACACCTGCCCCCATCTCTCACCACTGTGGGGAAACTGCCCCTGGACAGACGTCCCAAGATCAAGGTTGCAAAGGAAACTCCCTGCCACCCAGCACAAGCCCCAGCAGATCCTCATCCTGCCAGGACTCAGTTTCCCCATTTCTAACACAAGCTCTGGTTTTCCATCACTCAATATGTCTCAGTTACATAAGTCAGAGGACATCTGTCCTGTGTGCATATGGAAAGGTCCCAGGACACAGGGGTGGGGGTCCCTCCTCCATCCTGCCCTGCTGTTTGCCCACAGGTGGCTCTACCCTACCTACACACACGCACCCTCTCTCCACCAGGGGGTCTTCCAGGGAGCAGAAGCAAGAGAAAGGTGGGGCGTGTTGGGAGGAAGAAAAAGAAAAGTCAAAGACAAACAAGGCTTTGCAGAGAGTCTCTTGGGGAGCACAGGCCTGGGCTGGGTGGAGACTTGGCAGCCCCACCTGATCCCACCAGACCAGCCTGCAGCCCAGGAGGGGCCGGACCCACCTGCAGCCACTCGGAGGCATCGTTGGTCTGGGCGGTCCAGGCGTTGAACTTGCCCTGCCTGTCCAGCCGCCCGTAGAAGGGGTACCAGCCGAAGGCACGCAGGCCCCAGGTCTTAAAGCTGCTGGAGGCTGTGATCTGCTTGTCGGGGATGGTGTTGTCCTTCAGGCCCAGAGGTTCAGAGCATCCTGCCAGCAAGCAGACAGGGGGCTGTCACCCGGATCTGGGCTCCGCAGCTCCCCGGGGCATGAGCACAGGCAATGAAGGGGAGGAACCATGGACCCCGATGTGCCCTGGCAGTCTTTCTTTTATTTCCTTGTTTTCGTTTTTTTGGAGACAGGGTCTCACTGTGTTGCCCAGGCTGGTCTTGAACTCCTGCCTCATGCACCTCCACACCAGCCTTGGTATCCTGACAACAGAAAAAAGTTCCACCTGCCTTCAAGGGACAACTGCTGTACTTGTCATTGCCTGCTTAGCTCTCTTCTCATCTCAGCCGGTCTCAGCTCCATCCCAACATCACCCAAGACGTCCCCGCAGCCACGGCTCTTCTCCTTTGGCAGTCCCAGCTCCACCTTCAGACCGGACTAGAAAGACACCTCCTCCAAGAAGCCTGCCCTGACCACCTCACTGACATCTCCCTCCTCCTTCCTCTGGCACTCCCCCTTCCTCTGCATGCCTGCTGGCCACACTACTGATTCTGGGACTATCATCCAAAACATTAACCACCACCATGCCATTTACCCAGTGCTTCCTTCAGTCCTTCACTTACTTCAGCCACAGAAAAACGTGAAGGAAGTAGATATTAGCAACCCCATTCTACAGATGAGAAAATCAAGGCTAAGAGACATTAAGCATCGTACCCAAGGCATACACCACACACAGACTCCTATCCACCATGCCCCCTGCCAGACCCAACCAAGGCCTGCATGGTGGCAGCTCCATGATGCGCAGGACAATAGTCCCGCCCTCCAGCAGTTGGAAAGTAGAAAAGTCAGAGAATCTCCGGTGTTCAGGGATATTCCTGTACCTTCTCCAGCAGCACCTCATCTAATTTCTACCATAGAGCCTTTGCACACTCAAATGTTTTGGGGATGCTGTCACATGGGCCTGGGAGGGCTGGCCTAAGAAGGTGGCCTTTGCTGCACCCCGACCCACCCCAAACACCCAGGAATGTGCTGGAATATTTTGCATTCACATCTGCACCTGCACCTGGCCAGAACAATTGGGGATGGGCAAGAGATAAAACTCTCCAAAGAATGATGGGTGTGTCTCACACCTGGAGGGGTCCCTGCCCCACAACTGCCTGTCCCTTGGAGGAATTGGGAGGTGGAGGTAGGAGGCATGGACAGCCATCTGGGACACACCACCTCTGGCCATCCCTGGATGCCTACATCCTGGCCACTTGAGACATCTGCCTCCCAGATGCCCTGAGGAGCCTGCCAATTGTACCATCACCTCGTGAGGTCAGTGCTGTGCTCCTGGGCTGGCAGCTGGCTAGTCTGTTGTAACCAGAACAGAGGACCCTTGGGAAGGCTACAGCCTGGGGTAGTTTTGCGGAGGACACTGCTAGGAGCCACAGCAAAAATATTGATACAGGCACCTTTGGATTTAGTGACTGCCAGCCAGCCATTCAAATTATGATTATGTTAAGTTACATTCATATGCTAATTGGACTCCTGCTGTTTACCTGGGCCCGGGGACTCAGGTTACTCATGTCACTCTTGTAATGGGAGAGTTCCCATTGGTTGGGAAAGGATGGTAGGAGGGTGTTCCGGGGGAAGTGGAACACCCCCCACCCCCCCCCCCCCCCCCACCCCCCCCCCCCCCACCCCCCCCCACCCCACCCCCGCTGAGGTAGGAGACACGTGGATGGACCCACTTGTTAGGGGACGCACACGGCCTCTCACAGGACACCAATTCTGCATCCTTTGCTCAAGGCGAAACCATGCACAGACCACCTGTTTCTAGAAGGCCATGCTCATCTCCCTCTGGGCGGAGGACACCAATTCTGCATCCTTTGCTCAAGGCGAAACCATGCACAGACCACCTGTTTCTAGAAGGCCATGCTCATCTCCCTCTGGGCCTCCCCAGACTTCTAGGGAAAATGCAGGCAGGAGGGGTACCAGGGCAAGAGCCATCATTCACTAGGTGACCCCAAGATGTCTCTTCCCTTCTATAGGCCTCAATGTCCTCATCTGCAAAATGAGGTATTAAAGTAGTACTTCTCACTGGGCGTGGTGGCACACACCTATAAACCCAGCAGCTCTGGACACTGAGGCAGGAGGATCACAAGTTCAAAGCCAGCCTCAGCAACTTAGCAAGGCCCTAAGCTACTTAGTGAGACCCTGTCTCAAAAGTAAAAAATTAAAAAAAAAAAAAAAAAAGGGTTGGGGATGCAGCTTAGTGGTTGAGCACCCCTGGGT